TTCGTCCGATGAAATTAAAAATCGTCCAGGAGATCTGCTCTGTAAAAATTTGTCCGGAGAACCAATTTTTGTCTAGACGATACAACTTGACTTAGAACGGTTTTTCCTCAGTTTTTTGGAACCGACCTTGTAATAACCGTTTCGTACCGGACGAACTTATTTCGTACGAAACGTCAGTGTTGTACAAAATATTTATACACATATGCAAGCAGGTTCATTTCAAAACTTTTAAGTAAAATCGTCCAGGGACGTACACGATCTAGTACAGGACATCCACCGCGTACAGAATATGAACTTGTAATTTTGTATTTTTTCTTGTCTTTTGTATATATAGCAAATTTGAGACTGCAACCTCAATCTTTTTGTCATTTGATCTTGCGTGCCTTTTGAGAGAATAGCCAAGGAGAGAGTGTAAGAGTGCATTAAAGGAGGATTCCTACCACTGGAGCGTGAAGGCTTCACTTGAGTTTAAAGGTCTACTTGTGAATTGGGATTATTCCTCTTTTTTTTTTCTTCCTTCTAGATTCTTGTGAGAAGATCTTGTTCAAGGAGATCTGGTTCGCTGCCCTGTGACACTTGGAGAGTGTGAAACAGTCGAAGGGTTCGCTGCCTACACTTTGGAGAGTGTGAACATCCGAATGGGTTTCGCTGCCTAATCATTCTTGGAGAGTGTAGAAACAGCCGATAGGGTTTCTCTGCCCACACTAGGAGTAGTGATGATAAGGACGAAGATTCTCTGCCCCACATCTAGGGAGATGTAAAGGCACGAAGGGCCTTGCTCTGCCATACCACATTATTAGGAGAGTGTAGCAATGCTAGTCGTGCAACGGCACGATTGATCTCTGCCCCCTTAGAGAGAGTGTGAAAGCGAAGAAGGGTTCTCTGCCTACACTGGGGATTATGTAAAGGACAGACAGTTTCTCGCCAACACTAGGGATTGTATAAAAGGAAATAGGCGATTCTCTGCGCACGAGTAGTTCGTGAAAAGAGTGTTTTGGTAAAGCTTCTTCCGCTTGCTGTGGGTACAAAGGAGAGTCAACTATTGGTATTAGTGCAGATACTCAGAGGTTGCCTCTGGGGAGTTGGAGTAGGTCTGGTTTAGAACCAAACCACTATAATCTGGTGGTCATTTTAACTTTACTGTTTTTTACTTTCCGTGTTTTATTTTTGTTTTAAAAAATCTGTGGTTGAAAACATTTTCTAATAAAACTTAATTAAAATTTTCATTTCGGTTTTCAACACATTTTCAAAGAGGGTTTAAATTTTTAATACCAATTCACCCCCCGCCCCCCCTCTTGAGCCTGGGACATTAAACTTAGGTCTGAACAACCTATTACTAGATTCTCAACACGAGTAGCTATCAGAGCTTTTTTCAAAATCATAAGTTTATAAACTACTTTTTTGAATTACGTAGATGGTACAGTTCAAAACCAAACACAAACCTGGGGTTTTACTCTATAACTAGACCTCCACGTCTACTTTCTACAGTCACTTGATTTCGTTATGTGGGAATCCAGTCCAGGAAGGTACACAAAACCAACTAGATTAGTTTGATGGAGTTAAGAATAAACACCTTTTGCATTGGAACTAATTAGAAGAACTGTGGCTTAGCACAACCCAAAATGCCAAATGTTTAAAATAGCTTCTTTTCGTGCTTTTAAAATCTTGAAAACTACATGCGGGGTTTCACTTGCAAAAGTGGAAAGGAACATATGGGATAGACTTTTGTATAACTAGAAGGACTAATGAGGTCCAATCAAGACTCAATATCTTGTTAATTACTATGAATTGTTCGCATTGAAACAATTGATCCATTTCTGACATGTACACAAGATTCACGACAAATTGGTCCACTTCTTTGCCTGCACTGGTAAGGGGAATTTAATCTAATACTGAAATGGTTAATAAGATTCTTCGTTGTTACTCTACTGCTTATGATGCATATTG